GTTCTCAACCTGTGAGTTTTTACCCCTTTGGGGGTAGAATGACTCTTTTCACAGGGGTCACCTAAGACCGTCCTGCATATCAGATATTTACATTACAATTCATAACAGTAGCAAAATTACAGTTATGAAGTAGCAACAAAAATAATTTTATGGTTGGGGGTCACCACAACATGAGGAACTGTATTAAAGGGTCGTGACAGTAGGAAGGTTGAGAACCACTGCTTTAAATAGAGGCATTTCACTATAGGACACAGAAACAAAATGGAGAAAGATAATGGGGGGACAGATATAAACTAAAACACAGATCTTTGGGTTCTATGAACACCATTCCCCCCCCCCGCCCCTCCGCCAAATCAAGGTCACTTCTCCAGTATACTCCACAGCACTCTGCCTCTTGCTGTAATGTTCTCTACACCTATCCAAATCTTATCAATCTTTTAAGCTCCCCATTTCAATGAAATCTTTTGCCACCATACCACTCACTCTAAATAAACCTCTCCACTGAACTTCCCCAGGGTTTATAGTGTGTGCTATTCATCTGGTCTCATCAGATACCATAGTGAACTACTTTTTAATACATCAATTGCCATATGAATTATATTTAACTTATGCTAGCTTTGAGACCAGGGCCTTCTGAAGTATATATAACTCACATGTCTCTTGACCTACCTCGACCTAATAAACACCGTCGCCCCAAAGGAAAAAAAAATTTTTTCTAATGTTGCAACCAATGTGTTAAATCTTTAATCTGGACATATGTTATTTTTCTATTTGGCATCTGAAGTTCTGGAGAAAGGGTTTTAGGCATAGTTTCTGAATCGCCTAGAGCATCTAGCATGGAGTTAGTACATAGAAGGTCAAAAAATACTTCTTGCATTGAAATAGAAAAAGAGACTAGTACCTGAGGCATAAAGGATGATTATAAGGTGCAAAGGTAGGTGCATAAGAATGAAGCAGACAAATTCTGGTGAAAAAGAAAAGGAGAAAGAATAAAGAAGTCAGAAGTCTGCAGTAGTGAAGACAGCACTAGTAAATCTGGTTTGAGGATTACAATAGCTCAGACACTAAAGAAAATCTTGAAAGACAAATTGTAATTGCTGTAGACTGAGGACAGAGGGTCATTCCAATGCTACAGAAAGAACTCTAGTAAAATTCTGACAACTATAAAGGCGACTAACGAATCATAAGAAGGGCATACTATGAATGCCAGCAACTATAAACCATCAATAAATTTATTAGATTCTTCAAGTAGTCTTCACAGGAAATTTATCGTCTTAGTGAAAATATTTTTCACAACACTCCACCCAAAATTTAAATTAAAGCTAGTCTTGCCAGCTCTCCCACTGATCCAATTCCCTTCTCTCTCTGCCCTCTCTCTCTTGCCCTGTCTGTTCGGTTCGGTTAAAGATGTAAACGTGTGCAAAACTCTGTCAACAGGTCTCAAGTTTTCGTGGATCGGTCCCCTCCTAGGATCATTCCTTCGCATAGGTGACAGATTCTGCTTTTCCAAACAACCAAATGGACTCAGCTGCAAATACAGCCCCAAATCCTAAGATGCTCCCAGCTGTGCACCGCCCACCCACTTGCTGCACGCCCGCCACACCTCCCCTCCCAACTGTTTGGCATCCTGGAGGGAACCTCGGGGTCTACGGGGTCGAGAAGGGCGGCAGCACCAGCAACTCATTGGCTAGCTCCTGAACTGACATGAGATACAGCCAATAAGAAGAAAGCACGGGGAAGGAGCCGGGTAACGTGCTTAAGAGGAGCCTTTGAGAAGAGAACTGGGTTGGGGCAGAAAATTCGGGCTTTCAGAGCACAGGAAGTAGGGAAATTGGTGACTCTAAGTCATTAGGACCAAAACTCACCCACGGCGACAGCGCCCATAACTGCATCCCCACTAATGGGCCTGTGGGCTGGGAAGCCAGGTCCGTCTTCCTCGCGGTGACGAATATAGAGCGACAGAGCTGAAACTAGAGTGACCTGTAGAGAGCAACAACTTCCGGGACGCAGCATTATGGGAAATGGCTCGGCTTCAAAGTAGCCGGCTCCGCGTTGTTAATCTGCGCAGGCGCACGGCTCGTCCCGGAATTCCAAGCGCAGCATTAGCGCGAAGGTGTTCGGGGGTTCAATGATTTTTCTGCCCAAGTTTAATTATGAAATTATTTAAATGCTTCTAAATTTTGGATACCTTGTTGTGGTCTGAGCCTTGGAATATCTAACACGGTAACCTTTCTTAACTATGTTATGTATGGAGGCCGGCTAAGAGGGGAACATTTTTTTCTCTCAGTTCCCCTAATCCTGTCCTATTTGCTTCTATAATTGAGTATGTAATTTATCCTGAATTAACCTTGCTGCACCACATCAGACAAAAGGGTAAAATTCCAAGAGTGATTTTTTTTTATTTTTTGAGACACTGTTTCACTCTTCTGCCCTGGGCTAGAGTGCCGTCGCATCATCAAAGCTCACAGCGACCTCAAACTCTTGGGCTCCAGACACCTTCTTGCCTCAGCCTCCCAAATAACTGGGACTACAAGCTGCCGTCACCAGGCTGGTCACTCTTGCTCAGGCTGGTCTCTGAGCTCAAGCAGTCTACCGGCCTCAGTCTCCGAGAGTGCGAGGATTACAGGCGTGAGCCACTGCACCCTGGGCTCCAAGAGTGAATTTTAAAGCAGAGATGAAAGACGGCATTAAAGAGAAAATGCTAGAGGTAAAATTTCCAAATATTTGTTTATTCGTTGAAAATATTTAAGTGCATACTTTGTGCCAAGCCCTCTCTGAAATGAATTGAACATGGGCCTTTCTGCCCTGGAATTTTTAATAAAGACACAATAATCTCTACCAACAAAATTCATTTTTCAGTAGAAAAATTGGCTCGGTGCCTGTGGCTCAAGCGGCTAAGGCGCCAGCCACATACACCTGAGCTGGCGGGTTCGAATCCAGCCTGGGCCTGCCAAACAACAATGACGGCTGCAACCAAAAAATAGCCGGGCCAACGTTGTGGCGGGCGCCTGTGGTCCCAGCTACTTGGGAGGCCGAGGCAGGAGACTCGCTTGAGCCCAGGAGTTGGAGGTTGCTGTGAGCTGTGATGCCACAGCACTCTACCCAGGGGGGACAGCTTGAGGCTCTGTCTCAAAAAAAGAAAAATACGCAAGCCCTGTACACAGGTGATTTGCCATAAAAGAACAATTGGTCATAAAATAAGTGAAGACATGTCCATCCTTACTAGTAATTAGATAAAGTTAGATTAAGATAATGGCATACTAACCTGCCAAATTGGCCACAGTAAGATGTGGTTAAATTCAGGGGATACCAGCTCACCTGCTCTTTACTGCTGAGATGATTTATTAAAACTTTCTTTTCAGCCACACAGGCCTTTTTTGTTTTGGTTTGCTTTTGGTCCTTATTCTAACAGAGGCTTTGAGTCACAGTAACTTCATGCTTCCTCTGACTGGAATGCTCCTCTCCGGATCTTCTCAGGATGGTACCTTATAATTCTGTTTACACATTAAAAGTCACTCCCTCACAAAGATATTTGCAGAGCAGTCCAGTTAACTGTTCATCTGATCACTAACATCACCTTATTTTACTTCTTTGTCCCACAATCATTATCCGGTATTTCTCTTTCTATTTTACCTATATAGTTTCCCTCATCTATACATAGCAACATGCAAATGTAAGGTCTTTGAGAGATAGCATATTTTCATCTTGTTCATGGCTATAACTCTCGTACCTAGAAGTACCTGGAACACAGTGCTTAATAAATATTATTGAAGAAATGCAGTCATTAGAAAGGTAATACTGTACAAGAATGTTAACAGTAGCCCTACTGTTAATAGCCAAATCTGGAAATAGCCCGGGTTTCCATCAAAACAATGGAAAAACTGGTATATTCATACTATGGAATACTACTAAGCAATCAAAAGAAGCTGATACAGTAACTTAAATGAATTTTTTAGATATCATACCAAGTGAAAGAAGCCTTACAATTGCCTGATGTATGATTCAACATATGAAGTTCTAGACTGCGTTAAAAAAATCAAAATAAAATCAAATAACTAAAGCCAGACAGTGCTAAAAAAAAGAAAAAGAAAAAATCAGAACAGTGGTTGCCTCTTGGGAGAGCTGGGTAGGGACTGACTAGGAAGGAGCATGAAGAAACTTTCTGAGGTGATCGAATAATGTTCTGCATATTAATAGGATTTGAATTACATAGGTGTATGTTATTTGTCAGAACTCAAATGTATATTGAAGATATGTATTCCATTTTTATCTCAAAAAACTTAATTTGAACTGCAGTAATGATGTACTCCGAACTGTAATGTCTACACTTTGAAATGTATCACAACAGATGGATTGGTCAGATATGTGACATAACATAAAATGTTATGACAGTCTCTGGATCTGCATTTCTTGACCTCAATACTCTCAACACTTTGAACCACCAATTTTTTCTTGTAGCAAGATACCCTATGCGTTGTAGGAAGTGGAGCAGCCTTCTTGGGCTGTATCTACTCTTTATTTCAGCAGCATCCTTCCAGTTGTGACAATGCAAAATGTCTTCAGAAGAGGGAGGAAAATCCTTCTCCTTTTCTTTATCTTGAAAACTGCTCCGCTGTAACTTCTCTTAACTTGACTTTATACTTGAAATTCTTCAGAATAAAAATTAAAGGAAGAAGTAAATTATACGACTCTGAAAAACGCTCATAAAATACAAAGAAGATGCAGCTATGAAAACCTATGTAGTTACTATCTTTTTTTATTAAACTGAAAGTTAGCACTGATGACACCTTATGGCATTTCTAAAATGAACAGATGACATAAGTATACTGCATATAATTGGATTAGGAAGAAAAACATTTCTAATTACTCTTCCGTTGGAATCTCCTTCAATTTTTTAATTACCAGAAATAAATCTGGGAATTCATACGGTTAATCCCTGCTTGGTTATTAGGCAGGAACACTTAAGGCCACCATCCAATTACCTTCGTGGCTCCCTAATTCCCTCCTCGTCTGCGGTTTAGGGACAAGGGAGAACCCTATTGTGCGAGACGATATTACAAATGCAGAATTTTGGACCCCCTCCATCCCTACCTATCGAATCCTGATCTGCATTTCAACAGGATTCCCACGCAAGTCCCCGTTTGAGGTGCGTCACTTTAATGGACCAATCCTTGTCCTAGGACCACAGCGCCTGTTATACTCTGACAGTGACAACAGCTGAGAAATGACTATGGAGTTGGTACGGAAAGAGGTAAGAAAAACTCTGCGAATGAGAAGCACCTAGCGAGACCAAAGAATTCCCTCGGTCGTTCCCAGTCCGGAGGAAAACACCCGGGCAAGCCCTGACCTTAACGGGTCGCGGCGGCTCCAGCTTCCGGGCCCGCGGCCTTGTGCGCATGCGCGCGCCTCCCGAGACTGCGCTGTCTCCGTTTCTCCCAGACTGGCCCGCCGGGGGCTTTCCAAGTTTCGGGTCGCCGAATCCTGGAAGTTTGAGGCTCCGTTTCTATGAAAATTGAACTGTCCGTGTAGTCAAGAAACCTGGGCTTACAGCACTGAGCGGCGCACAGCTCGAGGTGAGTCTCCCACCACTGCCGCCAGTGGGTATTTTCCACGCTGGACATAAACCACCTTCCCGGCCCTCGCCGCCTAGGTGGCGGCACCGCCTCCCTTGGCGCTGCACCTTCGCTGATTGGAGAGAGCCGTGGGGAGGGCGGGGCGACGCGCACCAGTGGTACAGTGCTCTGCTCTTCATGAAAAATAGTATGAATAACTTGCGGAGGAAAGGGAATGATTGCACTGAGGACTCCCAAGTTTCAGTCTGAGTTGTTACTGCAGTCTCTGAACTCTCCAGTCACAAAATTCTCTTGAAGGATTTTTGGATGGCTGAAATCTCATCAACGGAAATAATTTGGCAAATAAGTGACTTTTTTTTTTTTTTCTGTAGTGACAGTCTCACTTTATCGCCCTCGGTAGAGTGCCGTGGCGTCACACAGCTCACAGCAACCTCCAACTCCTGGGCTTAGGAGATTCTCTTACCTCAGCCTCCCGAGTAGCTGGGACTACATGCGCCCGCCACAATGCCCGGCTATTTTTTGGTTGTAGTTTGGCCAGGGCCGGGTTTGAACCCGCCACCGTCGGTATAAGGGGCGGGCGACCTACCCACTGAGCCACAGGCGCCGCCCTGGCATTTAATTGACTTTTAACACGGTTCCCATAGATGGCCTTTCAAGGGTACCTCCGTCCCGCACTTCTTTGGTAGTTCATTTCATCTTCCAGACCCCACACTCAACAGGGCCTTTTCCGAACTTCACTCACTCCCTGGGTCACTTTAAACAAATACATAGCTTTCAATAAGTGTTGATGACAACCAAAATTATATCTCCAGCTGAAGCTCTTATACTCCACAAGGAGTATAAGATAAAAATTCAAAGGATAAAATCCAAAGTCCTGGCTATGTCTTATGAGCCCTGACATAAAGTTCCCCTCATTTGTCCAGTAACCTTTCCTGTGTCCCTGTCTCCAGCTCACTCTGCACTAGCTGGCTGGTCTGGCACCCTGAACATGCTGTATCCCCTTTGCTTGGCTGGGATAAACACATAACTTCCTTCTTCAGTTCCTTCAATTCTCTTCCCTACAGTCGCCTTAGAAGAAAGGCCTTTCTTGACAACCCTGTCTCAGTCTCACTCTCGCTGCCCTGCTGTAGTTCCTTAGTTTCTTTAGGCTTCTTCATAACAAATATCCAGTAGGCACATATATTTATATTTTGATTTCATGGTCTCCTCCCACTAGATTAAACTCTATGCCAGAGAAGTTTTGTTGCTTTCATTCATTGTTTTATTCTTAGTGCCATGGACAATGCTTGACTATATTGGGTGCTTGAGAAAGGTTTGTGGAATGAATGGCCAATAATAATAATAATGATAACAGCAAGCACTCTTGTAACACTCTGTTGCCAGGCATGTACCACACGTTCTCTTTTCCTCCTCATAGCAATCCTCTCATTCCCATTTTGGAGGAAGGACAAAGATAAATTAAGCCACTTGCCAAAGGTGACACAGTTGGTAAGTGGCATACTTGGGAGTAGCACCTTGGCAATCTGGTAATAAAGTCCATAATTTAAACTACCACAATTAAAAAAAAGTCAATTCACTTCCTCTAATAAGCATTTAATCAACGTTTCCTATATTTGTCAACTGCAAAAATACCCAGAAAATATGTGAAATTTTAGAAAGTCCAGGAATTTAAAATATTTGTGAGGGTTTTTAATTTTTTTATTCTTGCCTTTTATTTAGTTAGTTTGAGACAGAGTCTCACTTTGTCGCCCTGGGAAGAGTACCCCACCATGTTTACTCCTTACCATAATACTACAAGGAGTTTTTGGCAGGAACCATTGTAGTAACTGACCTGTCACCTGTAAGTAATTTGCATTTCTTTTTAAGTGGAAGAATTTTGTTTGCTCTTCAGAAGTATCATGCAATGAACTAGCTAAATTGTTGAACAAATACCATTTCCTGATATTAAAGAAATGATCCAGGCTGAGTGTGGTGGCTCATGCCTATATTCTCACCATTCTAGGAAGCAGAGGTGGCTGGATTGTTTGAGCTTAGGAGTTTGAGACCAGGGTGAGCAAGAGCTGGATCCTGTCTCTAAAAATAGCAGGATGTTGTGATGAGTGCCTCTAGTCCCAGCTACTCTGCAGGCTGAGGCAGGAGGATCACTTGAGCCCATGAGTTTGAGGTTGCTGTGAGCTGTAACACTACAGCACTCTACCCAAGGTGACAAAGTGAGACTCTGTCACAAAAAAATAAAAAGAAAAATATCTAACTGGACAGTGGAACCTCCATAGTTGGTTACCTCCCTACATTGACTACCTCCTTAAGTTGACTTAATTTTTATGGATCAGACATGTATCACATGTACGGCAGTTCTCTATGTTGACCACCTCTGTGTGTTGACCAGTTTGTTATAGTCCTTTGGGTGGTCAACTTACCAAGATTCTACTATATATTGGATGATATAAGGAAGACGTGAATAAAAGGGAAAGACATGTTTCTAAAGGGCTTATTAATAGATGGTCCAAGGCACCATTTGTGAATGTGTTGATGTTTTATGCTGCCAAGTCTTTGAACTAACAGCCAAATTATGAACTGAGGATAAATTTACTCCACGGAGTAAGCTATTAGGGTGGTCAACCCACCTTCCTAACATGTGGGAGCCTAACATGTCCTATTTCCTTCTTCTCAAATTGCAACACTGGTGACCAGCTACTAATTGTGTGAACTTTTTCCTAATAGACAGTTGGGACTCTCTTGCCTACCTCATTAGACCTCTATTAGAGAGCATCACATTTTATCACTGTAAAGTCTGAGTGGAGGGAGAGTTTATGAAGAGACAGAAGAAGCAGAATCCAGGTAAGAGGAGTCAAGGTTCTGGCAAGAAAAAGACACATATTCCCCTTTGAGACTTTGAAGAGATTGTTTAATAAAGAAGTTGTTTGCAAAGGTGTCACCAGGTTTAAAGGAATCATTACTACCCACAGGTCCTAGAGGTCTGCTGGAACCAGAGAGGAAAGGCTGGCTGCAGAGGTCAAGCGGTCTTCTAGGGTCACAGCGATTGTTAGAATCCTACTAAAGCAAGGAAGGAGTAGTAAAGAAATACTCTGGCCCTTTTCTTTTCCCATCCTCCTACTTCCTGCCCAACCATTGGCTGACCCCAACACAAGAAAGGCAGAAGAGTCAGCTGTGGAGGTCAGCTGTGCACAGTCCTGGCTGGGGAAAAGAAGGTCCAAGAATAAGTTTAGGGGACAAACAAAATAACTAGTATAAGAGAAAATAATCCAAATGATGCATCCCTGAATTAGGCCTTGGTAGTTGGGTTTGTGAGCATGAGACAGGTTCCAGTCTATTATGTTTTCCTCATACTTGGGGAGGAGAGTACATCCTAAGCAAGAGCCAGACTCCGTCTCTAAAACTAGCTGGGCATCGTGGCAGGGGCCTGTAGTCTCAACTACTCAGGAGGCTGAAGCGAGAGGATCACTTGAGCTAAGAGTTTGAGGTTGCTGTGAGCTACGATTATTCTGCTTTCTGCCTTGAAGTCTTTTCTTCTAGAAGCACCACCATGCTGCCTCTTCCATTTATCTAAGTTCCACTGTTCTTTCAGGTTTAGCTCAGATCCTGCTTCCTTCCTTAGATCTTTCCTAGTGGCCCTTTCATTTATCATGCCCTCATCTTAATCCCATAACAATACATTTTTGGTCATTTAACCTTCAGTCTTTTTATTATGTATTTTATTAGATATATATCCTGATCCTCAGACTAAATAGAGAGCTACAGGAAAGCATGAAGGATAAAGCTCAACATATAGTGCTGTGCTATAAATTTTTACTGAAGACGAGGAAAAATACCATGAAGATACCACTGACCTAAATATTAATGATTGTGTTTGGTTTCACAGAGTAAAATTTCTTGGAGAAGGTAAGCCAAATTTTCCTTTGCAGCAATGGTGTGGAGCTTTTTACCCCCCAAAGTATAACACTTCATATTTTCTAATGAATTTAGAAGTACTACATGCTAATCGTAAGACTTCAAATAACATAAAAGTACACAAAGTACAAAGTAAACTCTTTTCCTAGTTCCCTCAGTCATTTTTAGCCAACTCTTACTTGTTTGGTGAACTCTGACTTTTTATGAACATATAAGGATAATATACTATTTATATTTCTTTACGATCCATTCTTTTCAGGTTACCATATATTCTGAACATCAGTGTCAATACAGATTTTTTTCCTACTAGAGATAAGGTTCTACTTTGTTTCCCTCACCTGGAGTGCAGTGGTGTGATTGTAGTTCAAACTCTTGGGCTCAAAACCCTCTGCCTTACCCTAGTACTACAGGCGTGTGACAGCACATTCACCTAATTTTTGTGTATTTTTTATAGAGATGGAATCTTGCTATATTGCCCAGGCTAGTCTTGAACTCCTGGTCTCAAGTAATCCTCCCCTCTTTGCCTCTCAAAGTACTGGCATTACAGGCATGAGCTACCATGCCTGACATCAGTAGGCATTTTTTTTTTTTTTTGAGATAAGAGTCACTTTATCGCCCTCCATAGAGTGCTGTGACATCACAGCTCACAGCAACCTCCAGCTTTTGGACTTAGACAATTCTCTTGCCCCAGCCTCCTGAGTAGATGGGACTACAGGTGCCTGCCACAATGCCGGCCTATTTTTTTGTTACAGTTTTGCCGGGGCTGGGTTCAAACCCGCCACCCTCAGTATATGGGGCTGGCGCCCTACTCAGTGAGCCACAGGTGCCACCCATTATTAGATACTTTTAATAACCTCATAATATTCAACTATTTGGATATATATTTATTAAATTAGTTTTCCATAAGTCATTTCTGTTGTTTTTCTGAATATAAACAGTGATGCAATGAATATCTTTATATGTCTTTATATGCTGTGAATATCTTTATATATATAATATATATCTTTATATGCAATGAATGTCTTTATATGCTGTTTGATTTATTACTTAGGTCACCTTTATGTGACTGAAATTTTTGGATCAGTTTTGCTTATAAAA